AGAGAAATATGGCAGATACCATATGGAGAAAATGAGCTAGATAAACTCAAGATGTACGAGGGTCATTCAATAAGTAATGCAATATACAGTTTATCATAATAAATGTAGATGTATTTAATTTTATTTTTTAAAAGTTGAAAAGTTCAATTATAGAACTCCTAATCACAGAAAACCCCGTGCTTTTTCCTATTGTTGTCGCAAAGGAATTCAATTTTAAAGTAAGCATGGTCACTACACTGAGCTGAAAACTGTTTAAAAATGATCTCTGCCAAGAAGATGAAAATGAGGGCGTATGTGAAAACTTTGCTTCATTAAATAAAAAGCTGAATAACCCGTACTAAAGATATGATTTTGATTAAATGTGCCAATGGTCTATTTAAAAATAAACATTTTGACAAAAAAGATTTGATAAACTTGAGTGATGGATAACGAAACATTTGTGTCCTTTTTATAGCCGAAAAGATCAAGAATAAAATGAGGAATCAATGAGAAAGCTGTCGTCCTATTATTGCAAAGAGAAGCAAGGGTCTTTAGGGTATCCGTAAAGATGAGTATGCTGAGGTTTTCTGATCATGGGTACAAAGACTTTAGACATGTGTAAATGACAACAGGGAATCCTTTGAGGGATTGAAAGTGTTAAGAATCTGCTTTACATGCTTTTCCTATTTGTATAGATGACCTTTTGCATTATTTATTGAACGACCCTCGTACACCTTAAACGAGTCATACAATTCTCTCAAAGTCCAAAAAATCATTTTTCATTAGTTTTTAAAACTTCCTTAAAATACAAGTACTATGTTTTAGTGTTATTTTTGTTTTCCGTACCCCTCCCCCCGTTAAATCTAAATACCTTGTTAGGTAAAAAGTAGATATGAATCGCAGGCAAGTATATCTGTAATAATTTTTAACCCACTATATAATTATCATTATACTATGGCTTAAAAATTTATTACAGAAACAAATGCCAGTGATATGAATACATAAAGTTCTGGCTGTCGTCACTGAGGCTTACTGAGGGAGCTTCATGTTATAAACTTATACACTCACTGCTTTATAAACATATCCCCACAGAATGATCTAATAGCATTTTCCCTGGAAAGCATTACATAATTGTATGTACTATTAAATTAAACAAAGTATTGGTGGCACTTTTTCTCAGATGCTACTTTTAATTTCGAACGTGATTCAAAAAACGATACCAAAATAATTACTAGCTACATGTTACTTCAGCGTTTGTATGTATTATAAATGAAAAAATATTTCCCAAAGATGTGCGCAGAAACATCATTTTGTCCAATATTACTTCGAATTCAAATCTTGTTAACTAATTTTCATCATTGTTAGTACTTCATAATTTATGGTTATCATCAACTTCATGGTTGTATTCGGTGTTCATTTTTTCCAATTATTAATATTTTTTATAAATATGTACAATAGGGAACAAAGTGCATTGGACTCACGACAATGGTTATTTTGCCAGTTCTATATACGTCTCTAATGACTATAGACATTTTTAATTTCAAAACACTCGCTAGAGTATCGTCTACGAGTACATGTATACAAGTCTCCATACATATTTAATTTCATAACACTAGCTAGAATATATATCGGCTGATCACATGTTAAAGGGACCTGGATACAGTTCCATGACCAATTTGTTTACAATTTTAAGTTTCTATTTTTATTTAAAAAAAAAAAATAACCTCAGTTTAATGAATTGAACTTACACGAAAATTCTTAAAATTCAATGACAACGGCATTCTTCACAACATCACGTCAAACAACCGTGTTTGTAAACATGGCCACAAGCTCTGTTATTGTTAATGTTTACGTTTTACCGGGTGTGTTCAGTTTTACTCTGCACACGTAACTGAGCTCGGATTGACAATACTGCTGGTGATTGCTTTGGCTTTTTCACATTTCTTCTCTGAATTTTCTGGATTATAGTTTGAACATTTTTCATTAATATACAACTAATTTTCCACTTTTAAGGATAAAGTTTACTTCGTGAAATTGCAAGGATGTGTGTCAATCAAACGCTTTCCGAAATAGTTTTAAAAATTTCCTGGTAAAAAGAAGTTTCTAGAAAAGCTTTTATAATATTTCGGTGTGAAATGCTCTACCAACATTTATGGCTTGATATTATACTGAAATTTTTAGAAAATCTTAACTTCAAATCCGTGTCCAAACCCTTTAAGATATCTTTGCCTCGCTGTGGTGTAGATGATGTCATACACAAAAGATATGTGTTTTATCAGGTCCACGGGGAAAGTTTTACAAGGATCTCATCATGTTTTAAAACTATTTCTTTATCAAAGTTTTTCGGAAATTTGATGAGTACTTTTAGCAAAATTTTCAACGTTATGACAGGAACATGGACGGTGATTGGTGGAACATCTTTTGTTAAAAAGAAGACAAACGATAATTGAGTGGATGACGTAGGCGATGAACAGAATGACGTGTGATGTCAGTCTGCGGTCAGTTGGCGAGAGTACGTCATGCTGTGCGGTCGTCTGCTTGTTCTCGCAATATTTATTACAGGATCTGAGCAGTTTGACCCGTTAAAAGCTTTCCTGAATTTGGCTGCGATTTCTGGAAAATTAAACGAAACTGACACTACCAATCCCGAAGCTTGGAGCTGTAAAGCCTTCTGTGTAAATGTGACCTGCGCTAATGGCGGGACGTGCAGAGCTCTCGGTGCGTGTCATGGACACTGTATTTGTTCTCAGGGATTCTCAGGCAAATACTGCGACGAGGTGGTGCGATCAGGCACGGATCTACGACATCTGACGGATGTGGCCGACCCTGTACAACAACTTTTTCTGATGAAGCAGTATCTTAGCGTACCAAGTACAGATAATTGACGGGAAATGTTTGATTGATTATGAAATGGGAGCATTCTAGATGTAGTCGAGGCAAATAGGACTACAGGAGCTGGTCGTATTCGAGAAACGGATATTTCAAAGCCGTTTGGGATGGATTTGTATCGGAAAGTGCAGTTTACACACGTTAATGCATTCGCTGCCTACGGCTACGGAACAGCGATACAACACAAGTAGATGTGAACGTCGAAGTAATTGGAACAAATTATGTAATCTGTTTATGACAAATTTTGACAAATTTCGCCTGTAAAGAAATCTGAACACGACAATGAGAGGAGATCATTCCATTGTGATCCAGGGCAGAGGTTTAGTCTGTGTAATTTGATCTTTTAAAGTAAAAATTTGATTCATATCGATTGTTCATTCATGACTTTTTTTTTTCCCGCAATTACAATCACTTCAATCTGTACCCCATCCAAGTAAGTACACTACCAGCATATTTATCATAAAAATATTGGTCACTTACAGGAAAATTTACACTGATATAAATAGTTTATAGTCAGTTACGTGCTATCTAGAATATGGAAGTCGTTTATCTCTACTATAGTGTATTATTAATATGCATGCGCCATTTGGATGCCAATATTCAAGGACGATGATAAAACAAGGAGATTGCAAGAAAAGTCCAGCAGTTCATATTTTTAAACTCAAATGCATTTACACAACACGGAAAAACTACGCGTCAGTAAACTGGACATTGTATGTTCTGAGGAGATGCCCCTATTACCATCCATTCAGGTAACAGTTTATGCAGACGAGCGAACCCCCAACCCCCCTTTTATTCCCTTGGTTGATTCGCTTGACTGGGTAGACATAAAATCTATCCCACTTCAAAGTAACCAAATTCCATTGAAATACTAATGAAATTATCATAATTTATATGAAAAACAAAAAATTTCTCACTGAAGGTTTTCTATTTCTGGCAAGTTGACATGAGAATGATCGAAAAGAAACTGCTCGATATACCCCCACCCTCCTTCGACAATTAATTTGTGTATGCACTAGCTACAACCGAAGATTTGTCTTCCTCCTGAAAAGAAATTATCCAATGACCATTGTCTTTTTGCAAGTAATTTTATAAAACAAGGGTTACTTAAATCTAAGTACATGAAAAATTAAACATCATTTATTAGACCTTTACCATGGCCAGACACCCCCCCCCCCCCCTTTCCAAAGATACAACAACCCCTTAGGCCCTATTCTTGTTTCTGCGAAATTTTTCAACAGTATCAAGATAAGGGACTCCATTGCTCTAGTGTGAAAAGGGAAATAACTCTCCAATATCACCTGACTGGTATAAATATATCTGTTTAATAAACATAACATTACAATAGAACACCACACACTTATCCATTATAAACTTTCTTACTGTATAAGCTATTTAACTACAGAGGTTATCATAGATATGGAAAGCACTAAACATTAAAAAATACAAAGCGCAGGATCATGCTATAGCAAAAACGGCAAAACCAACAAACAAACACACAGACAGACTAACTTGTTCTCTACAATGTAGAATCGTATAATGCATGAACAGTACACACCATGTCACATCATCGACACTTGACTTTCTCTCCTTTTATATTAACAATGTTATTTAATAACAAATAATTATATAAATTGAAACTGGATACAATCTTAAAATAAAACACACAATACCTTTAGATAACTATAACTTCAACTGCATCAATCATATAATACTTACAATAACTTACAATTTAAGGAGTAAAAGTGGAAAGAGAAGAGTTTTAAAATACCTTAATGTTAACTAGTGATCATCTATATAAAAAACACTGATGTTTATTCTTCAATAAACACAACGCAACATAAACATTGTACATTCTGCATACATGTACTTCATAATTATATACCATGAGTTGTATACTACATAAAATCAGCTTTTAAGAGAAATATTTTTTGCTGAAATAATAAAAAAAATTAGGACAAGATTAAAAATATCCTTGAGGATATGAAACAAGTCGGGTAGACATTGTAAAGCCAAAAATTCTCCCTCTTCTATTACTGTGGAATCATTTAATTTGTGGAATTCAATGTTTGTGTATAATCAAAATTTTACTTGTTTGTGTGGACGCTATATTGAGGGTAACTCGTTATATATAGAAGATTAATTGAACCAATACATTGACAATGTTATCGTTTGTGGGGATGTAAATTTGTAAGGATCACCCACAAAATCCAAGAGCATTGATACCCCATCAACAATGATGATTCCACAGTACATACTAACAAATATTGAAACAGTAAGTAAAAGTTAATACTTGTTTCTTTTTGATTCATCATGTAACAAATAATAAGTACAGCACACACTGACATTATGTTCTCATCAGATATTCTCCTGACATTTAAACAATGACCCAGTATATATGTCACTCTCAACAACCTAAAAAAACATCTATTTTTCTTCCATTTTAATTCACTTACACAAATTGAGAATTGAACAGATAGCTTTCTTTCCTGAGACATGCTGATATGTGTATTGACTATTTATTGCTGCTCTCTGAATTTGGCACTTGATTGAGTTATGGGTCGTCATACAGCATTGTCCCTTACCCTCAGGCCCCACAGAGAGGTCATTCTGATCCCCGTGGTGGGCCTCGCAATGTTGGAGAAGGGGTATCGATTCAGTTCCAGGTTCCTCATTTCATGTTTGAGATGTTCCATCGTTCCGTCACGGAACATTCCAAAGACCTCCACTTCAGACAGCCGTGGGTGACACGACAACTCTCTGTATTAGAGATATAACAAATTAGCCATAGTAAAAAGCAAGAAACAATTTACCTAAGCTCTACTTAGTCATTGGATATCAGGGCCCTGTTTCAAAATAGAACTTACGATTATGCCAAAAACTTAGCCAATTTTAAAATATAAATTAATTAGTTATTCTGTCAAAAAGAGCTTGCAAAAAAAAAGATCTTTCAAAATTCTTTTAAAAAAAAAATTACTACCATTTTAAAATTCATGTTAAGAAGAAATTTTATTCACAAAATTAACCCTAAATTATTTTGTAAAACTGGCCTAACCTGTACAGAGATGATCATTTTTTACCTGATGCTGTTACAGGGGAGTGTGAAACACCTGCTGAGAGCCAGGTATTGGAGATTGTTCAGGTGAGACATGATTTTTTTACCTGATGTTGTTACAGGGGAGTCTGTAACACCTGCTGAGAGCCAGGTATTGGAGATTGTTCAGGTGAGACATGATGTACGAGATGGACAGTCCAGTGATGACCGTGGAGTCCGAGAGATCAAGTTCTGTGAGGTCAGGACAGGTTCTAACCAGCTGTAGTACCTCTGTTCAGGAAATACAAACAATTCTACATATATACTCTACACACTACACATAATGCATGTGTAAAAAGCTAAAAACTTTAATGAAAAAAAAATAATCAAAAAAGCTTGACAGAACTTTCCTAGTCATGTTGGCATTGAAACTTGTGCAAGATATACATGTATTAAAAGAATATGTTTTGGAGACTTTAGAATTTTTTTCAGTGTGGAATAAATTTACGCTATGTACGTGGTCACAAAAAAGAGAAATTTGTCACAGTGTACTTACAGTACATATAAGAATATAATGGCTATACAAGAATTCCACGTAATTTTTTAACCTTGGATTGAACAGAAATTGTAATTCCACGGAATTATGACCCATAGAAAAAAAAGTATGTTTACAGTATATTCAGATTTATAAAATCCACCCCAGCAGCCCCTCATTTCTGGGGATGAGAATGTTCTCAAAATCCACTGAGGTTCAGATTTTAATCAGCATACATTTTAGCTTTGGATTATGATGTGTTCATCACGACCACTAAGACTTAGTTTGAGGCTGTTCTGTGTTTATTTTTTCCCTCATTTGTGATGTCTTCTCAAGTATCCAGATTGTTACAGAATATTTACCTTCATCTGTGATGTGTTCTCGACACCCACTTAGGTTCAGTTTTCGTACTGTGGGGGGAAGACATAAGGATAAGTAGGCCACAGTCTGCCTCTTCAGACCAGTCCAAGCTAAATTCAGGGAAGTTAACCTGAAATATAATCAAAGACAAGGGTCACAATAATACAATGATGATTCTGATCAGAATCACAGAGCGAAGGAAAATATTATAGTCTTTACATGTATAAACATCTGCTACTGTACATATCTCACTCAGGTAAAGCAAAGTGTGATGGAGCCATGGATGGAAGGATGGAAAAACAGAAGGATGGAAGGATGGACATGACAAACACTATAAGCCCCGACCATATTAATTGGGGCATAAAAATATTTGATTGACAGACATTTTTGAAAATCCTGACCTACCATAATCAGAAATTTATTTCAGACTTTATTGCCTTAGCAACCAATAAATAATTTCTTCTAAATAAAGTTACTTGCACTTTCTCTGTTATTTGATTACATTGCAACTTGTAATTCTTTCTGGGCATCACCAATAGAATTTTTCTCAAAAAAACAAACCATACATAGAATTTATTTTTTCATACAGGGACCTGGGATTGAAGCTATTTATTATGAAATATTAATACTAGTGATTTTTATGTTCTGTTTTTTCTTTGGTTATATATATCAGATATATATTAGATATATATGTATCTTTAGAAATTCATATTCATAAACCTGTTATAATTTTTTATATTACAAATGAGATATTAAAAGTACAGAGAGTCCTTTGTTGTTCCCATTTGTTTCCTCAGTATGAAAGCTTCAACAATTCACCATCAATGATGTGGGAGCATGAGTGGAAGTGACCGAAACTATAATATTCACTTTATTGCCTGTTCAAAGTTGCTCTGAATTTGTGAATGCTACTGATATTTCCATGAAAATGGCCTGTTTTAAACAGAAAAAAAAATTATAGCCATGTTTATGAACAGTGTTCGAAATTCAGAATTATTTTCTATGGGTCCAAAGGACCCACAGATAAAGGGACTACAGGAGTCTTTTCAGGGCAGCATATGCCCAAAAATAATACCATTAAATATTTTGGGAAAATAAACTTTTACGTATCGATGATCTTGGTAAGTTTATCGCTTCATATGAAATATGTCAATTTAATAAAGGGTATCTATAATTCGCAATTTGAAACGGTAAGATATTAATCGTCACACTGTCTTACTTGGTCATATATAACATTTAATGAGTTTAACATGTGTTATTATTACTGTAAACATACTTTTCCTCGGAATTATAATTTCTGTTTTAAAATCTGCGGGAAAAAAATTATGCAGGTTTCATAGATTGCCACAATATTTTGATAAAATGTAACCGCATACATATAACGTAACTTTATTCCATACAGAAAAAAAAATCAAATCGTGAGTATTTATTTAAAAGTATTTATGAAAAGAAAAATTTATATGATCTTGATAAAAATAACAAGTTTTACCCATCACAAGTCCAATTTGGTTTAAAGACGCTCATTAGATGCTCATTGGTTAATTTGTTTAATATAACCAATTAAAAATGTTAACATGCAGGAAAGATATAAAAGTTAATGTACAGTCCCTGAAACATTCTACTTTCCCACTTGAACGGTGAGCGAACGCTGAACGAACGGTGAACGAATGCAGAGCGAACGGTGAGTGAACGATGTGTGAACGCTGAACGCAACTTGGTGAACGATGTGTGAACGCTGAATGGTGAGTGAACGCAGAACGCGAACGGAGCGCAAACGCGAACGCAAAGTGAACGGTGAACGAATGGTGAACGCAAGATGAACGATTTATTCGGAATGCCTCTGATCTTTTCCTTGCATTGAAACTATTCTATTGTATTCTAATGTCAGGTGCCAAAAAATAAATAAATAAACAAATTAGTGAATAAATAAATAAAATATATAAATGCTACAAAATTGTCCTCAGAAATTAAAGACGATACATGCAAATTAAGTAAAACAAAGTTTGGTTTTTTTTTGTGTATGATGTTTAAATACAACTTTTTAATCACATGGTTTTTATTGCTGTAAAACATTGTAATTGTTACTGAACGCTGTAGTATAAAAGATGAAATTATTTTAGTTTGAAAATAAATATGTTTATTCTTATTTGATATAAAAAAAACATTACAAATAATAGAAAACTTCTGACTTATAGAATGAATTATAACGGTTGTAATATCCATTCATATATATTTCCGTGCCAAGGCCATTCCGTGTAAAATAATGAAAAAAAAAATTAATAAAGGTCTGTGGACATACTGCATAAATACACTCACATTTTAGATTTTTAATGCAATAATATTTTTATGAGTGATTTCTATTTTTTATGATGATTAAGCAAAACTTCTACTTGTACATGTACCTGTAGACATTTCCCCATGATTATACTCGGACAAGATTATACAAAGAGGCATACATATTCATGTTATTTGTTATAGATTAAAATTTCAGAACTTGATATTTAAGCAATTTGCTGTCATAGTTTTTATCAAGCAGACAAGAGAGAGAGAGAGATTCCGTTTTACCCCCCCCCCTTTCAGGCTTCACCAACTGTTGTACCGATATTTAACAAAAATTCTTCATTTTTTTCTAAATATATCAGGCAATGAAAGAAACTTTTTTTTTATCAACAAATCCATTTGTTTGACAGTCATACTCGTTTTTTTTTCCTGCTTCAAGTTCACACGAAGTCCACATGTTTGTCCTGTCAATCAAAATCATTAGATACTGTGCAGGTGTGAAAGTCTCGTCAAACGGAAGACGAAGTGCTAGTATCTCCAGCAAGTTTTAATTTTTTTTAAAAATCATTTCTAGATTTGATTCCAACATTTCTAAATAAATAAATAATTTAAATACATTGAGCATTATCGCTTCAATTTGAAACATACTCACTGCCAATTAAAAATACCACCGCCGACACATGTATATTTTGAACAACTATTGTTTAATGACCTTTTTAGATGCATTCTTTTTTGAGACTGAAATTTTTGTGGTACAAAACACTTTAACTCCTTTTTAAATGTTTATAAAATATACTGGTAATACTGACTAAGTAACCGATTTAGGAGAAGGGGGGGGGGGGGGGCTCTTAAACATATCAAATGGCAAACATATAAAGTTACAGTGAAGGAAGAATTTATTTTCTCTATAACTAGAGACTTTATATTATAATAGTAGAGAAAATCTGTAGTGTATTACATTTAAAATAAAGATTTTTATAACACACTATCAATTTAATTCGCTCCAAAGATATTTAATTAACAAGATATCCGCAGTACTATGTATAATTCTCAGCACTAGTTCTATCATGTATTTCTGTAGTAACTGAAAAAAAAAATGTGTTTAAATAAAAATAAATATTTTCTTAATTTTGCTGCAGTGTTAGAAATAAATATTTTTGTAATTTTGCTGCAGTTTGGATTAATCAACTAGGATGATTATCTCTCTATTAACGATTTGTCGTCTATAACATAACAACAAAATGTTGCAGTACTTGAAGTATCTATATATCGCCCGTAATTTCAATTAAATTTGTCAGCATCGTTCTACATAAATGTAGGAACATACTTATAACAACATTTATTTCCCAGAGTAGATTAATAAATAACCTTACAGCTAAGTTAGAATAATAAAAAAAAGATAATGTTAGAATATTGTGGATATATTTTCCAATGAGATGACTATTCTTTAAACACGATATGTTAATTAATAAATTAAAAATAACCGTAAATCCTTACTTACAAAAAGATAAGTCCTTTCACTTCGGAGTTCCGAATGACCCTGAAGACTGATCGATAAGTGAACGCTGAACGCAAGGTGAACACAAAGTGAACGAACGGAGAGCGAACGCTGAACGCTATGTGAACGGTGAACGCGAGCGCACAGTGAACGCAAAACTGTGAACGGAGAGCGAACGGTGAACGCACGCTGAACGAACGGTGAGCGAACGGAAAAATGGGAAAGTAGAACGTTTCAGGGACTGTAAATACATAAACCAATATACCTTAACATTAATCGCAACTTCTTAAGCCTTTCCAACAAGCGGCAAAGAAAAACAACGTTGTATTTTTCCAAGCTGCCGGAAAGATCTGAGAAGATGTGATTGACGTTAACTTATTTCCCGGCAAATCATCGTCGGCCCAAAATTATTTCAAGGACCCATTTAGTCATACTATTCACGAGTCCTTCAGTTTATACGTCGGCGCAGGACCGACGGGCCGACGCTAATTTCAAACACTGTTTATGAACCCAAACCCATGAATAGATGTAAATTATCCACTTAAACAACCCACCACTGATTTTTTTTCATAAGCACCCCATGGATAAAAGAGAATCTTTTGCCATCCAGGCACTGTATCAGGAAGATGTTTTATTGGAATAGTCCTAATATTTACACGATTTTCATGCATGTTACTTTTTGTCTCCTTCTCATGTTAAGAATTAGAATGATATTTGTACCAGTTTCATACAAAGGTCATACTAGTCACTTTTGCCTGGGTAAGCTAAACCGCTACAGATATGTAACAAAGATATAAATATTTTAATAGATTTTCTAATAAGGTTTTTTTTATGTTGTATTTTTTTTAAGAATTCAACATCTACAAATCCAGTGGGAATGGTCACTAGTTATGAAGTGGTCATTCCTCATACATCATAAAGTTTGTATTGTTCATTGATCTGACTAGTTCATAGAGAATTAAGATCCTTGGTAGAGACTAGTTCATACAGAGAATTAAGATCCTCAGTAGAGATCCCTACCTTCTACATCCAGAGAGGATGGCCGCCAGTCCTGATGTCGTCAGTCCCTCACACATACTAAGATTTAACACCTGTAGATTCTTGTTCTGGCCAAACAAACTTCAAAAACAAAAGAGCATTCATCAGTTTCAACATCATTTATCATATATCACAGATTAAAGCTAAATAACTGAAATATCCCCACCCCCAAGTCTGGGAGATTATGGCCTTGTGACTTACTGGGCGACATTATCATCTATCGTACAGAGCTCCAGACTGAGTTTCCTCAGATTTTGACAGGAGGAGAACAGGTGCCCCATCATAACAGTACTGGCTGATGACAGACTCAAATCAAGGTACTGTAGGGACTGGAACCTGTAAATATAACAGTAATGACTGATGACAGACTCAAATCAAGGTACTGTAGAGACTGGAACCTGTAAATGTAACAGTAATGACTGATGACAGACTCAAATCAAGGTACTGTAGAGACTGGAACCTGTAAATATAACAGTAATGACTGATGACAGACTCAAATCAAGGTACTGTAGAGACTGGAACCTGTAAATATAACAGTACTGACTGATGACAGTCCTGGGGTAAATTATAGTGGCCTTGACCTTTTCCATTAAGTCCTTGAAATGTAATACAGATATTTTTAAAAGTTCAGGATTTAAGGCTACATAAATTTAATTCTCTGGTACTCAGGCCAATTTTCTCCAAAATGGATGTGGGAGGGAGGCTTTTTTTAAAATCATGTTAATGGCGATAAAGTAGATGAGGGAGGTATTTTTTAAATACCCGACTTTTTTATAAAATAATGATAAAAATTCTTTGTTCATAGATATACTTTCCGTACTTTCCATGTCTGATCAATAGGCTTGCATTATCCATTGCTTATCAACGTGTGAACATTGTAGGCATTATCATCGAATTCACTTTGAAACGAAGTAGCCAAGTCTCTGAAAATGGCTACCGGAAACAATATTCGAGTGCTAAACTACGAGAAAATGAGGGCAGAACTTTTTTTTCCAAATTGGTCTCTGCATTTACCACCTTTTTATTTTATCAAAAATACAAAAAAATTTGGAATGCGGCTACCTCAAAACAGATGCAAGTGGGCCTGAGAACCCTACTTTCAATTTTATGTGGCCTAATAAAAAAAAAAACTAAAAAATTTAGTTATCAGGAAATGAATTTCCAATTCATGTCACTGTGTCCTTTTTTTTTAAAGGTTACAAAAATTTGGGTCAATTTATTAGCATCAGAGTTTACCTACAATGTTTAAGTAACAAAAGTAAATACAAGTTTTAAAATACATATACTCTTACCAGTCAGGAGTGTTACTTAAACAAGTAATGAAAAAGATTAGTTCAATGAGTAATCATTTAGAATTGACTAGAGTTACCCCCATTACAATATTTCTAAAATGAGCAATTTTTTGAAATTGGTCAAAATATATATCCAATAATTGCCTTTGGAAAAAATTTCTTACAGTAATTTTTCTAGAAACTTAGTATGGAGCAAGAGGAGCACTCATTTTTCAAATTATTGCCCAAATAAATGTCATACTTGTGGACAAAGCTTCATAGTAACAGGACACAATGTCATACTTAGAAGAAAAAAAAAGGTTCTGAACATGAAATGCACTTCAAAACAAGGTAGAAATGGGTCAGTATCCATCAATTTTCCCTTAACTTTTGAGTGATTTCCGACTGGTTCACTTCCTTGAACCACAACTGTAGTTTCAAACTTAACAGCAGTAAATTCAATCAAATTACTGCTTTAAGTAGTTTTTAATATTACATGTCAAGTAATGCCCCTGACTGCTTACCCGGATTTGTCTCCCTTCCAATATCTGTCAAACCCATCCTCTGTTATCTACAAAGAATAAAAGTCACAGGAATTAAAATTCTAATGCAACTTTTTTTTATGTGCATTTTGATTGGCTAATGCACTGATGTATGAGGCTGCTACACGAGCATTAACAAGAGTGAAAGCCTTCGATTGTGACATCATAATCGAACAATGCCAAAACACAACTTTTAATGACATATATCCTAGAACAAAACTCAATGAAATAACACGTAAACATGGAACAAAATGCATAAATTGCATTTGAATGGAAATAACTATCTTCTAATTTGTAATTTTCAACTGTTAATCTGATTTAAAAGTCACAAATAATTGAAAGATTGAATGTTATGTATGTTGTTAAGATTGCTCATTCACAAAATAAGACAAATTGGGCCTTGTTTCGTGAGTTGTCTAACTTTTCAATTAAATAGTTGAAATTACAGGTAAATTGGGATAGCAGGCAGGTCTGTGGTATCCAACCCTGAATATCCTCAATTACCTGCTTTTGGGGGAATTTGTTGATGTTGATCATATGTAGTACCTACCTCTGTTTTTGTCAGTCTGAGGACATTAACACCTCGGTGTAACAGTAGACCCAGACAGCTGGTATTCACTCTTTTGTTGGCCAGATCAATCCTTTTCCATAAAGATTTATCTCCACTGAAAATCAGGAAAATGTCCAAACAAATCCATTTGTTGTACATATTCAAAACTTCTACAAAAATCTTACTTGTAGTTGATAACTTCAAAATCTGAACCTATAACATTCTTATCAAATAAAACTGACAAATCAGATTTTATACTCTTGTTTTTTATACATATGTGCAAATCAGGAATTTGTCCCTGATAGGTAACAAAGAACTATGTAATATGCTTACAAGTATCCATGTGAAAATAAAATGGTATGGACCCAAATTTCCTCTAATACGAACATGAAGGTATAATTCAATCACTGACACATTTTGAAATAAAAAGTTTCCAGGTATTACTACAGGTGTATCAATCAATACAACAAAATTAATTTGATTTTGAGTCTACACCACAATTGTTTTTGTCATTTGGAAAAGTGGCTGCCTTATAGCTTATAGCATATTTTGAATTGGAAATTAACTTCTACTCTCACTAACATCAGTATTTAAACATATATATAGAAAAAAATGTTTCTGCTTTTCAGGCTGAAAAAAAATTAGGGTAGGTAGGTTGGCATTTTTTTCCTGGTCTTCTTTTAACAAAACATCTAATACTGTTTACAAAAGAAATAATGCTTTAAAATATTTCTGTAACTTAAATTTTTAGAAGAAATTTTTAAACATTGGACTAAGGGTGCAATGATAAACCGTTTGACAGTATATCACGGTATATTTAAGTTAACAAAATTTTATTTTAATTATTATAAAAAAAATATGAACATTTTGTATAACCCTGTCAAGTTTAAAAAAAATATGATGACAAACTTGAAAGACTTTTTAACCTTGTTATGTATCGTGATACGTATCGTATCGTAAACTGAATACTGTGATACGTATCGTATCGTGAGGTTAGTGTATCATTGCACCCCTACATTGGACAAGAACTGACATTTCATATCTTCAATGAAAAAAACATTAAAAAATTTGGGTCAATGCTATAAATTAGGGTTGGTTGGAAAAGCGGTAACAAACATTTTTTATTCCTAGGCCTTAATAATTTATTTCTAAAAAATTCTAATGAATAAAAATTTCCTAATTATTGATCAACAGACAATAAATTCCTTAGTGCAAGGAACCAGACCCTTTTCCCAAAATGGTGTGGAAAATCCTTGGACTTACACAACACGATTCCAGCGGCGACAAACTCGAGCACATTTGGCAAGTGTAAATTTTGGTAACCAGTGAAAAATACGCAGAATCATTTCATCTGACAAGTGACTGACATAATCTGTACGTGAAAAATAAAGAGTGTCAAACATGTCAACATTGGAATTTCTGAAGGAGTTAAGAACAAGTGATAAGTGCACATGGTACACATCTTTTGATCTGTGTTAGCTACACTGCAACTTATGGTATCCATACAGGGTTATCCCTAAGAATTAAAATAGCAGGGGACATTAAAAATGTAGAAGGGGGTCTGGGGTTCCTCCCTAAACAGGGGGATGAGGGGAAAACCAGAGTAACCTGGGGATTACGTCATTAAAGGCGGGAAAATTCCCTGGTCCCTGGTCTCAGGGACAACCCTGCCATACCATTGTTTCAGATTTGCATGATTATTGCATTCAGACTTTTCAAACCTGCATCATCTTTTAGGATTTCCAGATGATTTGTAGGTATATTCTCCTCACACTTCTCCTGTTTTGAAGCTTGTGTTACAGTTCTCGTTAGAGATGGTGTGTTGTCTCTCTGGCTGTTCTGTAGTACTCGAGGGGCCTACAGTTATATGATACAATTATATGATACAGTTAATGATACAGTTATATGATACAACCCTCAAACAGTATATACATTATTAATCCCAGCTATTTATAGAGTATCAAGGCTGAATTTGGATTATTTTTTCTTTGTTTGATCGTTAATTCATAATACACCTCTACTTGAAACAAAAAGCTCTCCCTTACTTCCATTCCTGCAAATGCATACAAGATTGTTATACATGTACAATGTAAAATACTTATTTTATTCCTCAAAGCAATATAAAACCCTCTTCTTTTTTTTAATTTACAATAAAACACAAAATAGTTTGTTTTTTAATTCAACTCTATCTCATAACAAAATTTACAAAAGTAATTTCAATTTAAGTTTTCTTTCCAAAAGTCATTGTAACTAAGCAAATAATTTAAAATCAAAGTTGAAAAAAAAAACACTTCAAAGAAATGGGTAGTACACTCAGTTAGTAAATTATACATGTAATTCCTGAAAAATCATGATTTTTCACAACTACAGGATTTCCTTTACACTTTTCAGGGTTCAACACTAACTTTTTTACCTTGGTGGACCGCAGGTCCACTAGTCAAAAATTATTGGTGGACCTTCACAAATGTTTGAATTAATGAATGAATTCATACACAAGGCATGAAACTAACTTATGTATCCAGTCCAGTCAGACTAATAAAGTATAAGTTTAACGAGTCAACAGAAACAAATCATTTAGTCAGGAGTTTTCAGCAATATTCCGAAACATTTTTTCAATATTTAAAAAGAACACAATCTGCATCTTCAAACAATTTGTTATTTTAATTCAATATTTATTTACAATGGTAAAAACCTGCATTTATTTCGCTTCCAACGGTAGATAAAATTTAAAATCCCAATAATCAGATAATTGAGTTGTTTATATATACAAGTGAATTTTTCTTGTATCTCTAGCTAGAACAATTTTTTACTATGATGCAAAACTGACAAAAGTCTATGCATTTATTAATTAATTTTTTAAAATTATTATTATTCAAATAAACTGTGATCATGATTCTTTTATGTGATAATATGTATAGCAGAAAAAAAACAAGAACTGCTGATAATGTGTTCATAAAATATAAATCGTGCCTGTCTGAACATTTAAAAAAAATAAACAATGCATAAATGCAGCTGTCAATAATTTCTAATTATCGCCAATTCTGTCCATCAGTGTGCGTTCAGGCATGAAGTGATTTCCTGTTACCCAGTGTACATTTTCACACCTTTCTGTGCATTAAACAAACAAAGGACAGACTGACTAATTTGGCACAAATTTTACATGCTTCTTTTTCAAGGTCCGTGTTGAATGTTCTTGCATCTCAACGTTACTGTTATTGTAGTCATCAAAAATTACATGTAAAATATATACTTAGTCGCTAGGTTCCCCTGATTACCTTAAACAAATTTTACCATATTTATTTCTTGTAAAATACAAATATGTTGAATTAATCGTTTGATTTATGGATGTTGATTTATAGAAAAAAAATGGAACTTTATCGCGTTTCTTAAATACAATGTTTAAATTTTTAAGTGGACCGACGGTCCACCTAGTACAGAACATTTGGTGGACCTTCCAATTTTTTGGTGGACTCAGGCCGCCGGTCCACCGTTAGTGTCGAACCCTGCCTTTGGTGACTTTATGTCTTTTCTACTTGTACCTGTAATAACAGTGATTCATTGGCTGTACTGGTGACACTTGGTGTGATTTCCAAGTTCTCGGAGTCTGAACTACCACTCTCCGACAACAAGTCACACCCCAAATCAGCAAATGTGTACTCCTTCTTCGGGCGGATTTTAACATTTGCTCTCCTGCAATATATATATTAAAAAAAAAATTAATGCTTTACTCACTCTAATGGCAGATGATTTGAACAATAAACGTTTAAATTACTTACAACAGTACAAATTTTGCATTGTGAGTTTCACAGTTAAACATGTTTAAACCAATGAAATGAATGAATTCATGAGAACTAAACATATTTGAACATTCATTAAAAAAGTTTTATCGATCTCTTTTTTTTATCTAACTGAATAATATCGGTTAGACAATCAGACAACTTTTTTACGTTGCAGTTCTGCTACTACATTGCCCATAATCCAAACTTAAGGATTTTTTATAGCCTTTTTACGTTGAAAAAAGCTTCACACACTTCTTGCTCTGTGGAATGTTTTCTTTCTCCGATCGAAAATGTCTTGATCTTTTGGTCCCTGAGTTCACCATCTTTCAAGAAATTTGATTTTAGCGCCAATGGTGTTAAAAAGGGCGCTAAGTAACTCGTTCCTGTTTGTGTCTTATTTCAGATCGGGATCGGCATTCACATAGCATGTTTCACAACAGACGTTTGGTTTGACATTGTCAACTCAGTTGAGGCGTTTTTTGAAGAATTTTTTAAATTATTTATTGGCTACAGTAAGTAATTTTATTTTTTTTAATGTTACCAGATTATTTTCTCACTCTCTTTGACGAAAGGAAAGGAAAAGCGATAATTGTTAAATGATTTACGATAAAACTCATTGATCAAGCACAGTTTTGATTGAATATTGAAATATATTGAATCCAATTTTTACTTTTCTGAATTTCATTACTTATAATTGAATAAAATTGTAAATGTTTTACCAAAGTAGATTTGTCTTTCTGTTAAAGTAATATAAAGCCAGTGAGGAAGATGAACATGTTTAACTGTGTAACAGATGTGGCTTTGTTGCACAACACAAAATGTATTGTGTAACATTGAAAAATGCACCAGAGACTTTATAATATAGGTTATTGCAACTTGATAAAAGTAAATACTTAAAATTCTGTCTTGGACACTAAGCTGCCTCACCTATTCAGGACCAAAGGAGTATCCTAGTAAGGTCCAGCACAATCTCTTGATTTAGCTATTTACCTTGAATTAGCTATAGCTTTATTAAGCTATTCAAAATAGCTTGGTAAAGCTATTCAGGGCTCTGGATTCTCTATAATTTGTGCCGTTGAACGGCCCCATTCCCAATGCAAAAAATGTACCTTTTTTCCCAAAAGCAAAGTGTAAATTTCCCAATTTTTTTATGGCAAAATATTTTTTTAAAAGATCTTAATCGATGAAACTTAATCGCCAACAAGTGAGAATGAAACAATCTATAGTTCTGCGTTGAACTGTATAAATTAATGCATGCCACCTACATTCATAAGCTGATACGGCTTCAATAAGGAACCAGATTTTCCCAATTTTCCCCAAAATGACGAAAATTTTCCCAATTTGAACAGCCCTGGCCCCAGTTCCAAAATGTGGTGCGAGAGCCCTGAATAACCACTAATCATGAAAATTTTGTCCCACTTAGTGACTTATAAATACCAAATACCTATCTTGTGAAAATAAGGTGTCACAAAAATTTGACCTGCTAGTCATTGATCATCTAGGCCTAGAAAAAAATATGTTTTCTCCAGGCTGAAAAAAAATTGCAGTTGGTAGGCAGGTAGGCAATTCTTTTTGCATTTTTTTTCTGACTTCTTTAATTAAACAAAACATTTAAGTTACCCTGATTTAAAGAAATAGTGCTTGAAAGCATTTTTGTGACTTAAATTTATACTAGAAATTTTCATACAATGGGATAAAAACTGAAAAATTCAGATACTCATTGAAAAAAGAACTGGGTCAGCACTATGAATTAGGGTTGGTCGGGAAAGCAATAATTTTTTTTTCTAGGCCCAAGGATATTTCCTCATTTGTGGAAACAAACTTTTATTTGTAGAGAACTACTTATAATTTCAAAGAACATGGGTGGTTCACAGTCTATAGAGAAACCTCAGCAAGCCACTTCAGTTAACAACTTACAAGCCCACAACACAAACCAGAATTATCCTAGTGAGTGTCCAATGCATCAACAAACACAGCCACCTCAAAAGAGTTACCCAAGTGAATGTCCGATGCATCAGAAAACTCAACAGTCTTATCCCAGTGGATGTCCAATGCACCAGGGATCAAGCATCACAAACAGTGAAGAAATAGACCCAAGGAATATGGTAAATTGAAGTACAGATGCAGGAATTCTTAGCAAAAATTGACACTGGTTATTAATGCCCAGCCATGAATATTCAAAGAAAGTATTCAAGATATTTTTATGAGAACTTCATATACTGATATATATTGGAAATGCATTAACATTTTTGACCTTAACCTTTCCTATGACCTTGGCCTCACTTTTCTTAAATTTATGTTTAGCTCAGATTCAAGATATTTTTATCAAACTTCATATGCTGATAAATATTAGTGAGAGCTATTGAGCTGAATCAAAATTGGTGAGAGCTATTAAACTTTGTCATGATTTTCTGACTTTAACCTTCCCTGTGACCTTGACCTCACTATTCCTCATATACCCTTATCTTAGCAAGATACATTTCTTTTCATGTTGCATTACTGATGAACCATGGATGGGGCATTTATGTCCTATGGACATATTTCTAGTTTGTTTGTTTTTTTCGGGGGGGGGGGGGGGGGGGGGGGGGTGTTTTTTCTTTTTGTTTTTTTTTTTTTTTGTCTCCTTATTTTCATACAATGCCAGAAAATATCCATTGGGATTATACAAATACAGTGAAAGCTCTAAATTGCTAACATTTTGTCATGAAAATAAATATTTGTTGTATTTTTCTATTGTAAGAATATAATACATTTTATCATTTTTTTTTTTTTTTTTTACACAGCTTCAATAAGTGTGTTTACTAGTGTACGTGTTTACTAGGTACATTTGAGAAGAAAAAAAAAATCACATACAATTTTCAAAAGAAAAAAATTAAATCATCAACAATTTAACACAGAGATATCCTGTCCCAAACAATAATTTTTGACATGAAGACACAAAGCAAACCATTGACAATGAGTGTCAATTCTAATAATATTGTATAGAGCATTGTCTGTAAAAAAAAAAAAATGGGTGGAGAACTTGATCATATCAAAAAAAAAATATTTATATAATGAAATAGGTGAAGATAACAAACAGTGATGGATCTCAAAAAACCAACAAATGATACAAATCTCTGAACAGGGAATAAAACACAGACACCTGGAAATTCCAGAGGTGGGATCAGGTGCCTAAGAGGTACGCATAAACAAGGAAATGAATCATGCTATACATGCTAAAAGATCATATTATCAATAAGTAAATTTTAGTGATTCCTTTTGTTTTAATTCATAGAAAAACGCAGTAATAAAGGAGCACAAAAAGTGGCATCTTTGAAAATAAATTATAAAAGATCTAGAAATAAAATCTTACATAGCCAGATACATTCGATAGATTAATGTTTGAACTTTAATTTAGATGTAGTACTACTCTGGAGTATGCACTTTTCCACTAGAAAAGAGGATAACTATCCCCAGTGCATTGCATATTTCGATAAATTTGGTTGCCATAAGGAATTTTTCTTATCTTCTGAAAACAGAGGCTGCCTAGACCTGTTTAGATGCAAGGTTTGGCTAAGTCTGCTGTAAACAAGTGGGTCTAATAAGAATATTAAAATTGTATGTTTCTAAAGCTAGCTTTAAAGACTAGTCATGTACAATGTACTATAAATAAGTTGAAAAAGTATATTTCATAATTTTAAACCAACTTCGCAGGAGTGCAGTAGAAGAACATAACTAATCCTGTCAGTAAGCCAAATCAGTCATTTGCTGTATACAGGTAGAGTTTCTACAGAGAGTAAATATTGTTAGTACTGAATGTACATGTGTATACAAGTAGAATTTCTACAGAGAGTACAAGTTTCAAAGGTGTGAAAAACTGGGAACCATGCGTTTATATTAAGGTAGAAAGTAGAAGTTGGACATGCATGCCACATGTTGACCATCTAAACATCCATTTTAATGATATATCAAAAGCTGATAATCCTAAAATTACCAAAAAAACTTAAGATTTAAATTTTAAAAAGTGAGAAGTCTTATTTTTTATTTTAATTCATAAAAATTTCTGTCAGCAGTCTTGAAAAGAAAACACTACTATTTAGAAAAAAATAGTTAATTAATGAGCCACTGAAGAATATCAGTGGCCGTGGTATTAAGACAAAGCTTAACTCGGGATTTCTATTGCAATTTTATCCATTACAGAAAAAAAAATAAATTCCTACCTTCCAATGCTATTTTTTAATTTTAACAGTAAACAAGATATTTTTCTTAGGCCTTTTCAAAATCGAGAAGAAAGGGATTTTTGAATATCTTGATAGGGAAATCATTGGGTAGGATGAGTGAAATACCACCAGGTCTGGACAGACGGCATGTATATACTTTCCCTTCAAATTAAGCCAATGTAATTTTTTTTACAGATGCCTCCCCCAAACCAAAGACCCTCCCCTGATCAACCTTTCCCTCTGTCTACAGACAGAGTGGTGTCCAATATCCCCAAAGCTGACAGTGATGAGAATTGGGTATACCCATCCCCACAGATGTTCTGGAATGCAATGCTTAGAAAAGGTCAGTCCTGGCTCTTGAATCAAAAGATAATGATGGATTCTTTCATTTGTTTATTAGTATTGGTAAATTACTTTATTTTTGTCTAAGAATTCTTAAATCAATTTGGAATTTATGGTGGAATCTGCAATAGAAATATCGTGGTGGTTTGGATGAGTAAAACTCTGTAAAAACAAAAAATGGATAATTGAATTAATGTAGATCACCAAGTTTTCACTACAACTTATTTTCACAAGATAGGTATTTGGTATTTATAAGCAAGACAAAATTTTAACAAATTCTGGTCATTTTTGTATATAATCTACCCTGATGGAAATTTACAGGAGAATGAAATTTTCGCGAGCAGACCATAAAGTTAAAAAATAATGACTTCCACGAAAATAAAGTTCTCTTGAATAAAAAGTAATTTACAGTACTTAAAGGAAAATTGCTATCTAACCTAAATGAAACTGACACACACACTTTGTTGACTTTGACAGGCTGGCGCTGGAAGGAGGGTGACATTAGTGATAAAGACATGAACAATATCATCAATATCCACAACGCTAACAATGAACAGGCTTGGAAAGAAGTCCTCAAGTGGGAGGCACTACATGCCAGGTAAATATAAATTGTCAACGTCCACAATGCTAACAATGAACAGGCTTGGAAAGAAGTCCTCAAATGGGAGGCACTACATGCCAGGTAAATATAAATTGTCAATGTCCACAATGATAACAATGAACAGGCTTGGAAAGAAGTCCTCAAATGGGAGGCACTACATGCCAGGTAAATATAAATTGTCAACATCCACAATGATAACAATGAACAGGCTTGGAAAGAAGTCCTCAAATGGGAGGCACTACATGCCAGGTAAATATAAATTGTCAATATCCACAACGCTAACAATGAACAGGCTTGGAAAGAAGTCCTCAAATGGGAGGCACTACATGCCAGGTAAATATAAATTGTCAATGTCCACAATGATAACAATGAACAGGCTTGGAAAGAAGTCCTCAAATGGGAGGCACTACATGCCAGGTAAATATAAATTGTCAATGTCCACAATGATAACAATGAACAGGCTTGGAAAGAAGTCCTCAAATGGGAGGCACTACATGCCAGGTAAATATAAATTGTCAATATCCACAATGATAACAATGAACAGGCTTGGAAAGAAGTCCTCAAATGGGAGGCACTACATGCCAGGTAAATATAAATTGTCAATATCCACAATGATAACAATGAACAGGCTTGGAAAGAAGTCCTCAAATGGGAGGCACTACATGCCAGGTAAATATAAATTGTCAATGTCCACAATGCTAACAATGAACAGGCTTGGAAAGAAGTCCTCAAATGGGAGGCACTACATGCCAGGTAAATATAAATTGTCAATATCCACAATGATAACAATGAACAGGCTTGGAAAGAAGTCCTCAAATGGGAGGCACTACATGCCAGGTAAATATAAATTGTCAATATCCACAATGATAACAATGAACAGGCTTGGAAAGAAGTCCTCAAATGGGAGGCACTACATGCCAGGTAAATATAAATTGTCAATATCCACAATGATAACAATGAACAGGCTTGGAAAGAAGTCCTCAAATGGGAGGCACTACATGCCAGGTAAATATAAATTGTCAATATCCACAATGATAACAATGAACAGGCTTGGAAAGAAGTCCTCAAATGGGAGGCACTACATGCCAGGTAAATATAAATTGTCAATATCCACAACGCTAACAATGAACAGGCTTGGAAAGAAGTCCTCAAATGGGAGGCACTACATGCCAGGTAAATAAAACGGTTACAATATTATCTATGTCTACATCACTGAGATGAACAGCTTGTAAGGGGGATTTAGATTGAAAGCATTGCTCTCCAGGTAAAATAAAGGGGGTAGAAAGTCATGTTTCTACACGTTAACAATGGACAAGCATGCAGATAAATATATTTCCCATATCAATTGGGGACCATGGATGCATGTAAATATATCCTAGATAAAGAACCAGGAATGCAGGTATATACAGTCAAACTTCAATATCTCGAACTCAATGGGCCCAAGAAAAAAACTGAGATGTCTGAGGATTCAAGATATCCTGGGTAAAATACTTAAAGAATAAGGGGTTGGGACTTCCAAATCACTTCTGAATGATACTGATCTAACATGACATTGTATTCTGATATCTATATAAAGCCTAACTTCTGGATGATACTGATCTATCAGTACCTTGCATCTATATGACTGTGTATTCTGGTATGTTTAACTGTAAGCTATATAAAACCTTACTTCTGTTGTAGGGAATGTTCAGAGCCCAGATTAAAGCGATTTGGAGGAAAAGCTAAAGACTATTCTCCTAGAGCCAAAATACGACATTGGCTTGGGTAAAAAAAAAGATACTCTACATATTAAAAAAAAAAGCATTGTATAATCACCAGAATTCATATTGTGTATTAAATAAGTATAACTGCTAAAATGCTAAGCATGTCATACATTAGCAGACTGATATTTAAGGCATAAGTGGTGGTTAGAATTTTGTGTAAAGAAAAAAGCTTTTTTATTAGTCAGCTTTCAAACCATCACTAGTAACTTTTTTTCTGCAGTGCAGAATTTTGTAAGAAAACATAGTTAATACAATGAACATAGGGTTAACAAGCCTTTCAGTTAGTTTGGACACCAAGATTTTCAGTCATTGCGCAGTAGTGAGCTTATATGTATTCTAGATCAAGCAGTGGAAGTCATTCAGAACAAAGTTACTATCATATTACACTGGTTTATTGTTGTAGACTTTACTAAATAGATTACTATTTACAGGTATTCTCTCCCCTTTGACCGCCATGACTGGATTGTAGACCGCTGTGGACGTGAGGTACGTTATATTATTGATTACTATGATGCCGGAGAAGTGGACAAGTCTACTTACGAATTCACAGCAATGGATGTACGACCTGCCTTTGACTCATTTACGGCAGTTAAAGATCGCTCAAAGGTTGCGATGATGAGATGGAGCTTAGAACTAAAGGACAAACTCTCATTTGGTTCTAAATCCAGTGATGCAGAACCAACCAAAACGTGACAGAAAATAGTTCTGGTCCATTACACATTGTTTGTATCATTACACAAAGTTCTGTGTGCAAAGCTAATGTGCTATAGAAGTCAGCATGGTGCGAGTTTTACACACAAGGAAGATCTAATAGCGATTTATTCCGTGTCAGATGTAAGAGTCTCGTTTTTCCAAACATTCTGAGCATGATAGAGAAGGTGTACCGATTTTTATTTTGTTCATCATTTAAAATTTGACATAAGATGCCAGCACTTCTGGTGAACTTAGAGGTTAACAACAAACTCTGACAATGTTTTGGAATGTTTGATTTGCATATTTTCTTGTGTTATCAGTTTACTATTATGAATTATCATAGGATTTACTGGAAGGCTAAACCTTCTTTCTATGTATCAATACCCTTTAAGAGGTCCATTGCATTGTAAATATATTTTCAAAAATATCTGTATAAAATCATTTACATATATAAATAAAAAAAAACTAAGTAAATTGTATTTCAAATACATGTACTTTCATTTTTTATTACAAAAGTAAAAAAAGATATATTATGGTATAATACATACACAGTAACAAGAAATTTTATTCCAAAAAAGCATTGTGTAACCAGAAAAAAAATAAAACTCTTTTAACAGGGTTCAATAGAAAGGCACATCTTCACAAACTGTCCAGTTTGTTTATCAGAGTATCTGATCTTGTTGAATTACATGTAAGCAATTCAGAATATATTTTCAGTTTAGAAAGTACCATAATCCTAAATGTGAAAATTTATCAACTATATATCATCACTTTTCACATATATATCTTTAATGATAGGATTTTTACATTATACTCCTAAACTTTTACATCATTTTCATGAATAGTTACATTTACTGAAAGGAGGAAAAGTTGTAACAACACAGCAACTAATGAGAGACTCTACTGCAGTGAACACTTTAAGAGTAGCTAGTCAATATACATGCATCACAAAGTTTTAAACATCTTGCATCTCATATTTTTTCAGCCAGTTTTAAATTGGCAAAGGAAATGCTGCTTCTTTTCCTCTAATTCATGTAATATAGATTGTATAATAAAAACAAATACACTTGGAAGCTTTGCTATAAATGCGCCCAACTCATGATTAAGCTTGATGAGGAAGACTGTGATTAATTTTGAGTGCTAATTTACATACATTTTACAGCATGTGTGGAACAGTATTTTTGTTAATGCGTAGCAAAATTAAGATCAAATATTTGCATTAAACATATAAATGAAAGCAGGAAAAACTAACATTGTATATTGTTTTATGACACTAACTGGCAAGTATTCTTATATGGAATGGAAGCATTTGAGGAGAGTCAAGTGTACAATTGAAATGGAAGTTCTGCTATAATTCATCTCGGACTGCTCCACTCATTGTGTTTGTCATTGTAAATTTAATACTAGAATCATCATCTTTCTTAGCTTTCTTTTTTGGCTTCTCCATTTCAAACCTTTTACTCTCGATTTTTACAATGTCTGACATTTCGGAAACCTCCTGATCATTTGATTGATTATCCCCTGGTAGAGTGTGTCTATATGAATTATTGACCCCAAACAAAAATCTCAAAATGTTGGGATAGTTTAAGTCTCCCATCCTCTTAGTTTCAAACATCACTGCACTGAAACCCAAATCCTGGGTTTTCTTGGTCCCTTTGTCCTTGACATCAGGTAGAAGGATGAACAAAAGGGGTGTGTCAAAGAAACTGTCCTCCATTCCTAGGGCATTGTAATCGTCCAGAGTTGGTTTCACAACCCGAGCTGCATTAAAGTACCGCTTAAATCTGTAAGATACAGCTTTAAATAGAACAGGGGTCTCAGTCTCCTCTGAAATGGAAAAGTTTTAGTAGAAATTTTATACATACAAGTAGAAACTGAGCTCTCCAATTTACACTTAATGGTTTTATCTGAATAGTATTAAAGGATGCACACGAAACTCAATGAAGTGACATATTATTAATATTTTTAAACTTGAATAAGTTACCAGTGAGGAGCAGGAGTGGGAATCTAGAAGGCTTGGACATAAAACAGTCTACAAGGTATTCCTGGAGGTTCTTCCCCTTGATCCGAAGTGAATTGTCAGGAATTGAATCCACTGCTAACATACGAGCTTCATTTGGGGATTTGGCACTCAGCCAGGACTTCTTTTTTATAGACATTGGTCCGTGAGGATACACTCTAGCCTCTGAGTCATGGTTTACTCTATATTTCTGTTGAAAAAAAGGTTGTCTTGTAAAAATTTGAGCTATAAATACATGTAATATTATATTTTAGTACTTGTCTGATCTTATCAACAGAATATACTATAAATGGGGAATCTAATTATTTACCTTTTTTGTTAAATTGAAAATAACACGCACACACCTTTTATGCTCCCCTTTTAGGAGATACAGGGGCATATAGTTTTTGGTCTGTCTGTTTACCAGTTTGTAAGCAAAAACATTAACCTTGCCCATAACTTTTGAACAGTTGGTGCAACGGTTTTCATATTTAATATGTATACAATTCCTAATGATAAGACCTTTCTTTGAGTACCAACTTTTTTGACCTCATGACCCTGTTAACAGTTTTTAAAAAAGTTAAACCAAGTTAAGCCTTGTGAACAATATTTGTTCTAGGTAGTGATGGGACATCGGTTAATTTTCATAATCGATCCTCGGTCGGAATCGGTTACTGCTTCCGATGCCATTTTACCGATTATAGTCGGATGTCATAGTTTTGTGTATAAAAAGCAGACTATTACAATTATTTCATATTATTTCTTTAACACAAATATATAAAATATTATTTTCTTTGTTATTTTGCTTCTTTTACACTTTCTATTTATGCACCTTTTGGTTCTTAATCACCTTTGCTTCGTGCTAGTTGGCTAGTATCAGATGCAGACGCCATTTTCTTTCATTAAGAAGAAATAAATTTTAAACAAGAAATGAATAATTCTGGAATGTATTGTAGTAAAAGTATGTTTCCGATGATCAATTATGAAAAATTATAGGCGATCAGCGGAATCAGTAGCTTTTTTCATTAACAATTGATGTTTTCTGATTATCGGTACAACACTAGTTCTAGGGCTTCTTATATTTCATGTGTGTATTCCTTGTAGCAAGATATTTTAAGAGTACCAACATCACATTAATAAGTACAATAATCTCATGGAGAGGTCTGCACTTTATCAGAAGAAGAACATTTTTGATTTTCGCCTCATGAAATTGACCTTGGAGTTTGAATTAATTTTGAAAAACTTCAACCTTGGCCATAACTTCTGCACATCCATGCTAAGGCTTTCATATTTGATGTGTATTTCTTGTGACAAAACCTTTGTTTGGGTATCAACATTTTTGACCTCATAACCCTGACCTTGGAGTTTGACTTGCTCTTGGAAAATTTTAACCTCATTTAAGCTGTCATACGGTGGTATCAGTTTTTCACAAACACATCTTGTTTTTAAATAACAGCCAGGAATACTTTAGAGAACTTTAAGCACTGGATTCATTACCACTTGGACACATGGCTAGGAGTAATCTGAAAAATTATATACCATTCTTTCGAGCAGCTCTGCCTGGTAGCGCGTGTCTACCATCCCCACCCACACCACGCCCCTCAGATTGACGGCCATCGACTTCCAACTCCGCTTTAACTGACCAGCATGAAAAATGACAATCCAGGCATCGCTACTTCTCATAACACTGTCAGTGAAATTATCCTCGGTCAGCGGGAATATGTCCAAAAACCGCTCTTCTGGCTCAAAGGCGTATGTCATATCCTCATCCTCTTCCGTGTTTTGACACAAAGTTGGCAATAAAATGAAACTTAAAAGTACAAGCGATGCAATAGCTTGTAATGCCATTTCAAACTTCGCTTCAAAACTGACGTGCCGCGGCGTGGTTGGTTACATGAGACCGGAAGTTCTTATAAAAAATATAAAACAACGTTAGGTCGTTCCATTAGTATTCGATAAGGGTAATTTTTTAAAAAAAAAAAAAATAGATTTTCTTTGCGCATAAATAAGAATATGTGTTTAAAATAATTAATATCTTTGGCTAATTTGGCTTAATTTCACAAGTTTATGAAATGAATATATGAAACTTCATAAAATTTAAAACTCTTCTGCTGAGACGTAACCATGGTAACTGAAATATGAATAAATGGGAGGGTTGAAGTTTAAGTACGAGATATTCCGTTTTATTCTTTCACAACCAGTACGTCTATGTCATTTTTTTTTTACATTTATTTTTTTTCTTTTCATTTTTCTTTTCTGAAAGTTCTATATCACTTTCCTTTTTAGGAAAGTACCGCTGCATCTATGTCTGGTGTCGTCAACAATCAAACCCGGTTTGCTCATTACAGCTGGGTTTCGGGATAATGTAATTTGTATTTTGTGTGTTTAAACTCACTGACTGTAATAAAAAATGAAAATTGATAAAATTCGCAGTTTTTATGCCCCCGGATCGAAAGATCCCGGGGGTATATTGTTTTTGTCCTGTCTGTCTGTTTGTCTGTTTGTTTGTCCGTTTGTCTGTTTGTCTGTTTGTCTGTCTGTCTGTTGTCAACTTTAACCTTGCCCATAACTTTTGATTGGTTGGAGCTATGACTTTCATATTTCACATGTGTATTCCTTGTGACAAGACCTTTCTTTGGGTACCATCATATTTGACCTTTTGACCTTGACCTTGGAGTTTGACCTACTTTTGCAAAATTTTATGAGACTTTAACCTTAGCCATAACTTCTGAACAGTTGGTGCTTGGGGTTTCAAACTTCACATGTGTATTCTTTGTGACAAGGCCTTCCTTTGGATACCAACAACTTTGACCTTTTGACCTTGACCTTTGAGTTTGACCTACTTTTGAAAAACTTTAACCTTGGCCATAACTTTTGAACAGTTGGTGCTTAGGGTTTCAAACTTCACATGAGTATTCCTTGTGACAAGACCTTCCTCTGGATATCAACCACTTTGACCCTTTGACCTTGACCTAGGAGTTTGACTTACTTTTGAAAAACTTTAACCTTGGCCATAACTTTTGAATGGTTGGATCTAGGGCTTTCATACTTCACATATGTAATCCTTGCGACAAGACCTTCCTTTGGATACCAACCACCACTTTGACCTTTTGACCTTGACCTAGGAGTTTGACCTACTTTTGAAAAACATTAACCTTGACCATAACTTTTGAATGGTTGGAGCTAGGGCTTTCATACTTCACATATGTAATCCTTGTGACAAGACCTTCTTTTGGATACCAACCTATTTGACCCTTTGACCTTGACCTAGAAGTTTGACCTACTTTTGAAAAACTTTAACCTTGGCCATAACTTTTGAATGGTTGGTGCTAGGGCTTTCGTACTTCACATATGTAATCCTTGTGACAAGATCTTCCTTTGGATACCAACCACTTTGACCTTGACCTTGACGTTTGACTTTTATTCAAAAAACTTTAACCTTCGCCATAACTTCTGAACAGTTGTATCTAGGTCTTTCAAATTTCATAGGTGTATTCCTCGAGACAAGACCTTTCTTTGGGTATCAACATTTCTTATCTTTTGGCCTGGATTTTGACTTGCATTTGAAGAAACTTTAACCTTCGCCATAAGCTGCCATACGGGGGCATCAGTGTTTCACAAACACATCTTGTTTTTAAACATATTTCAATGTACATTAAAAAGATACAGGGGTTGACACTCGCCATTTTGGATTCCAGGGGTGCCTCGGTTCACACTTGATTTTAATCAATGTCTACACTTTTCCCAGGCTACTGATTTCGGGTGAGATCTAGCTTAAAAAATGATTGAATAACTACGTTAAAATTGTGTCGTCAGCCGATTTACGCATGCTGTATGATTAAACATGCAGTGAACCAAAACTAGCACTGGCGAAAGTGATGATTTTTATGCCCCAGGATCGAAAGATCCCGGGGGTATATTGTTTTTGTCCTGTCTGTCTGTTGTCAACTTTAACCTTGCCCATAACTTTTGATTGGTTGGAGCTATGACTTTCATATTTCACATGTGTATTGTTTTTGTCCTGTCTGCCTGTTTATCTGTCTGTCTGTTGTCAACTTTAACCTTGCTCATAACTTTTGATTGGTTGGAGCTATGAGCCTATGACTTTCATATTTTCATATGTGTATTCCTTGTGACAAGACCTTTCTTTAGGTATCATATATTTGACCTTTTGACCTTGACCTTGGAGTTTGACCCACTTTTGCAAAATTTTATGAGACTTTTACCTTGGCCATAACTTCTGAACAGTTGGTGCTTGGGGTTTCAAACTTCACATGTGTATTCTTTGTGACAAGGCCTTCCTTTGGATACCAACAACTTTGACCTTTTGACCTTGACCTTTGAGTTTGACCTACTTTTGAAAAACTTTAACCTTGGTCATAACTTTTGAACAGTTGGAGCTTGGGGTTTCAAACTTCACATGTGTATTCCTTGTGACAAGACCTTCCTCTGGATATCAACCTCTTTGACCCTTTGACCTTGACCTAGGATTTTGACTTACTCTTGAAAAACTTTAACCTTGGCTATAACTTTTGAATGGTTGGAGCTAGGGCTTTCATACTTCACATATGTAATCCTTGTGACAAGACCTTTTTTTGGATACCAACCACTTTGACCTTTAGACCTTGACCTAGGAGTTTGACCTACTTTTGAAAAACTTTAACCTTGGCCATAACTTTTGAATGGTTGATGCTAGGGCTTTCATACTTCACATATGTAATCCTTGTGACAAGACCTTCCTTTGGATACCAACCACTTTGACCTTTTGACCTTGACATAGGAGTTTGGCCTACTTTTAAAAAACTTTAACCTTGGTCATAAGTTTTGAATGGTTGGTGCTAGGGCTTTCATACTTCACATATGTAATCCTTGTGATAAGACCTTCCTTTGGATACCAGCAACTTTGACCTTGACGTTTTACTTACTTTTAAAAAACTTTAACCTTGGCCATAACTTTTGAACAGTTGCAGCTAGGGCTTTCAAATTTCACAGGTATATTCCTCGAGACAATACCTTTCCTTGGGTACCAACATTTTTTATCTTTTGGCCTGGATTTTGACTTGCATTTGAGAAACTTTAACCTTCGCCATAAGCTGCCATACGGGGGCATCAATGTTTAACAAACACATATCTTGTTAACTATGTAAAGTGTAGAAGCGTCCCGGAATAATGCACGGAGAGTCTAGAGAGGTTAAAAACCGCGCCAAACTTATTCTCACGCCAAAAAAAATAATATAATAAATAAAAATAAATAAATAAATGGCATTAATTACTCCTTCGCTAAATTCTAGAAACATACTTTATCTTATCTTTTAAAAATGTACCAAAAAAAGTCACAATTCATTTTTTGACAAAGGATTAGTTTTTTTTCGGACCAAAACTTATAACACTTTCCTTAAGAAGGAGATGGACGAACATAGCGTGCAGAAAGCCTGTAGCTTCAGATATATAAAAATCATGTTCAATTTGTGAATTTAGTATTTACAGAAAAGTTCTCATTATTGAAATTTATAAAACTATGATAAACAAAACTTTTTTGAGGAAAATTTTCTCGGCAAAATTTATTCTTTTATTAAAAAATGTGGTATTCGTGGGGCTCGAACCCTAGCAATAAAAATCCTGAGGATCATTTTCTTTCAAGACTAGCGCGCTAACCACTAGACTACACACGTCCTGATGAAAAGTGGCATTTAAATCATGTTTGTGATATGACCCTTGACTTAATGGACTTCAAGTATTTCTCGAAAAGGTGCGAATGTTACGTCATAAAAGTATAGGTATAGTGGGTCTTTGCTCCATATTTTTGTTGACCAAAAAATGTTTATCTTTATGCAAACTGTGAAGATTAACTTTCAAAAAAATGGAGCGAAGTCCCACTCATATCGAAAAATAGTGTTATAGTATGAGAAAATTACTCTTTTTGGCCTTTTTAGGGTGTGTATAATATTTCATAAGCACATAATTTCAATCTTTGTGAGATTTTTGCCAATTGTAGAGATTTTACATAAAGTATATTTTAATGTTAGATGAAATATCAAGGAAAAGTTTGTTATTATTGAGATTTAATTTCATCTTTTTTATCTACATAAAACGAATTACTATGTTTATAATACTTTTTAACAACACTAGTTTAAATCAATAGTTCAGACTTTTTTCTACGTGCAAAAGGATAAAGTTTAACTGACTTTCACTAAGACATGCACAAGCTATGTGTCACCCTTGTTTCTCTTTACTATCGTAGTTATCATAGTAGCGATTAGGAATATACTGACTTTACAATACTTTCAGGTGCATTCCTCTTTAATTTCTGTATAAATACACATTCGTCACATGACCACAAAATAAATTCATACATTTAAGGTTTTAAAAAAATCAATCAGTTCATTAGTATAAAACTATACATAATACGCAAAATGTTTGATATAAAGTATAGACACAAATCTAAATACAAGTGAAAAGGTATCATTTTGAACATTTATCAGGATGTAAGGGTTTAGTGATCAAGCCCTTTGAGCTTTATGGGATTTGATCACATGACCCCCCGTATTTTTATCCCGATAAATGTTTAAAAGTTCTTTATTAAAGTTCTGACCAGTGTCTTATATGTAACCCCATATAATAAGGGGGGGGGGGAGGGGGGTTATGAGATTATCGAAATATTTCATCAATTTTTAATACGAAGACCAAAATACTACTTACTTAAATAAATAAACATTGATGGAGCAAGCTCAAACATTTGTGCAAAGATTAGTCCTCAGCGATTAAGTTTTGCAGCAAGGTGTACATAAGAACACGTGCTAAACGCATTAGTGTTAGCCTAAACGCATTAGAGCTAGCCTGGTAATATAAAATGTGACACAGACATTGGGGCCTGATGAAAATTAAACCTTTCGCATATTTA